AGAAGAAGAAGAAGAAGAAGAAGAAGAAGAAGAAGAAGAAGAAGAAGAAGAAGAAGAAGAAGAAGAAGAAGAAGAAAAACAAAATAAACCAAGCTTACCCTTGGCTGCCAGTTCTCGTATTGCTTCTGTAAATTTGCACCAATGGTTTCCAGGGCTTTCTGAGGACCCATTGACAGAGGATCTGCAGAAGAATTGAAAAGGAAAAGGTTCAAAACTTTCTTCTCACTGAACTAAGAGAAAGTAGCTGTGTATCCATGCTATTTTGTATATACAGATAGGTATTTTTTTCACTACAAAATGGTCCTTCATTTATATCCTCCTTTTTTGTTTAGTTTCGTCAGAGAAGGGTATGAATAAGTACTACAAAGACAACAATACACAATGTATTAGTTATTATAACTGTCCTACTAACCTGTTTCAAAACTGTCTCATTGCTACTTCTTTCTCAATAAAATTAATAAAAAATAAATAAATTTAAAAAATAAAATATTTAGCTGGCAATAAAAAAGAAGGAAAAGGTTCCTTACACACACACACTTCCTCCACTGTCAAAGCTCTTTATCCAGGAGCTTCTTTAATACTCACCTCAAGGGCACCAATTTGACTTCAGGTTTAGCTGTATTTATCCACTTATAGACCTCCTAATGGCCATAAAACTGTATGATTAAAACCACTGCCACCAGGATTATTTTCCTTCTGACCATATTTGCTTGAATGTGAACATCTGCCACTTTTCTGAACCTTTATTTCTACTCCAGTGCCACGTTCACGCTCTGTGGGGAAGGTTTAGTTGTGCTTCTATCAGGGCAGAAACATTGGCACAGGGACTCCTACAGGGACTACACTGTATCCTCAAACTTTAGCTCTCCTGGATGCAATGGCAGGAAAGAGAGAGGAAGAGACTGCGGAATGACACATTTTAATAACTTTCATCTGTACTCTAAAATTCTCCTACCCAAAAAAAAAAAATCAGTTTTGCAAACATATATATATGACCTTGGTTTGCAACTTCCAGTGTGGCTTCTAGTGCCAATAACTCAAAGCCAAAGGTTCTCAAATCTGCCTGGTCTTAGGCCCCTTTTTCACTCTTTAAAATGATTGAAGAACCCAATCTGCTTTTGTTTATGCAATGGTATCTACTGGTATTTGCTACAACAGAAATTAAGATGAGAATAGTTTTTAATGTTTTTATTCATTCATCAAAAAGTAGTAAACTCTCTATATTTTAACAAACATTTATAATGAAAAGTAACTACAGTTCCTCAAGTTTAGTAAGAACAGTAACATTATAGCCGGCAGGATAGCTCAGTGGACTAAGTGCCTGCTTAGACAAGCGCAGGGACCACAGTTCAATCCCTGGCACCACAGGCGACACTGACCCCACCTCCAGGCATGCTGAGTAGGGGACAGAGTCCGGGCATGGTGGTACACACACCAGTAACACCAGTGCTGGAGAGGCTGAAAACAGAGTCACTACAAATTTGAGCTGCATAGTGAGACCCTGTACCAAATACATTAAAAAAAAAAAAAAAAGTAACATTACAGACATTTTTACAAACTTATTTAGTATTAGGTTTAAGAGATATCCAGATCCTCCTATCTGTTTCTTTAATAGTCTGTTGCAATATGGGATTTCAGTTAAGGCCTATCAGGAAAATCTCCCACCATACAAATATTTATCACTAACAAAAAGGGGGGGGGTATCTAAATGAAGTTACAACTAGCCAGGACATTTCCTTTGATATTACATTAAAATTTAACAACCAACAGCTCTGTCAGATTATTTGCAAACGTAGTACCTGAGGCCATATCAATGGAGGGGGACTGATCCTTAAGAACCTTAAGTGGCTATCTAACTCACAAATGACTTTGTAATGTTGTGCACTGGCCATTTGGAAACAGTAGGACAATGAACTATGCTGACCTCCAGCATCTAAAAAATATATATACACAATAACATCACCATTATCTCATTAGAAAAGGCTTTCAAACTCTACTTTTTTATTTGAAATCTCTTATTTTACTACTGGCAACAAGACAGGCTCACTTTGTTTATTTTCCTACCAAATACTCAAGTCTGTGTTGTTTCTTAATGTGAAAAGATGTGTGGTGAAAGGAACGTGAACCCAGCTCACACTACACCTGATGCAGAGGTGCTGCCTCCCACCTGCCAGCCCCACTGTCAGCCAGATGCATCTACTAAAGAAGTCTCATACCCCTACTGCCGAAAAGCAACACCTATTATAGAAGCACTGCCCCCCAACACCTGCACCTGCTGCAGAGGTGCTGTTCACTGACCCCTTCAGCCAGGAACTCCACCACTAGGCAACAGAACTTGAACATCAAATTCACCATACAAAAGCTTTTTAAAATGTGCATTTGTTGGTTGAAATTTAAGGAAATTATTACTGTTCTGTCCGATCGAGGACAATCTCTTGCAAATCACATTCTTTTGTTTTTTAACTACAAATGCTAGCCCAGGCCCGGTGAGTGTGTGGGAGAGATTTTGGCTACCCTGCACCAGCAGAACCAACTCGACCCAGCCCAGGCACAGCGTGGGTGACACCCTCTTCCACCTCCTTGGGACGCCCCCTACCACTCCACAGCACCTCCCCTACCCCGGCCAAGTAGGAACTTCTGCCGTGTTCTAGAACCCCCAGACCCAATCCTAGCCCAGGCCCAATGAGTGTGTGGGAGAGCTTCCAGCTATCCTGCACCAGCGGGACCTACTCGTCCGAGGCCAGGTGCAGCAAGGGACAGACCCTCTTCCACACCCTTGGGACACCCCCGAACATGTCCCAGCACCGCCACTACCCTGCCTGCCCAGCAGGAATTTCTGCCACATTCTGGGAACACCCAGATCCAGTCTTAGCACAGGCCCGGTGAGTATGTGGGAGACCTTCCTGCTACACTGTGCTGCCATGACCTACTGGTACCAGCTCAGGCGAAGCATAGGTGACACTCTCACGCTCTTGGGATCCCCCCATCACTCCGTAGTATCCCCCACACCCCGCCCACAGAGTAAGAATTTCTGTCGCGACCTGGGAACCCTGAGATCCAGTTCTAATCCAGGACTGGTGAGTGTGTGGGAGAGCTGCCTCTCCCCCCTACTCCACCTTATCCCCTCCAGACTCAGCTCAGGCCTGGCATACAGGCCTGGGGTGAAACTCTTCAGCTGCAATCCCTGCAGAGTATAGGGGACAGAACTACCCAGCTAGTCTAGGAGCAGAACATCTTGCCAGAGGGGCACAACAGGTTCACGCCCAAGGGCAACAACAGGAAGGAACTGAACACAGCAGCCAGACCCAAGCCAGGCACTGCTGGAATAATCCAAACTTTGTAGATCTACACCTGAACTTCAGTAGGTGCTAAGGCTATAATTGCAACAAAGATCTACAACAAAGGTCAGAAGACAGTGCTACACAAAATGACAACGAGAAGGAGCAAAACACAATCTCAGAACCCAAGCCCACCCATAACAATTGCAAAGGCCACTAACACAGAACAAACTGGGAATCACACAGCTGAAAACAATGAATCAACGGTTTCTGAAATAAAAAAACAGCTGCAGAAAGGTACAGAGGAACTCAGATTGGAAATTAAAAAAGAAATCCCTGAATTAATAACATCTGCAGTAAAGAATCAAATGCAGAAACATAGAGGAAACCCAATGCCCACCCAGAATAAGTGCAGAAGACACTAGCTCAGCTCACATGTATGAATTAATAGCATCGATAGTAAATAAGCAACAGCAGGAAGTCATAGAGGAACTCAGAGAAGAATTCTTTTCTACTAGCTCAGCTCAAACGTACGAATTAATACTGTTGATAGTAAATAAGCAACAGCAGAAAGTTATAGAGGAACTCACAGCACAATTCCTTTCTGAAATAAAAAAAGAATTTTCAGAATTCATAGCATCTTAAGTAAAAAATCAACTACAGAAACATAGGGAGGAAACCCAATCTGAAAAAAACACTGCAGTAAAAGAATTTATGACTGTTTCTAAAGAAGACATTGATTAAAAAAAAATAGATGAGAATAGAAAAATGACAGATTCCTTGAATGAACAATACAGGAAAGAAATAGATCGCATGAAGCAGATTCAAAGAGATATAGGGGAATTTAAAATCTCAATCACAAGCTTGCAAAACCGTTTAAGTGAAAGTGAAGACAGAGTTTCAGATCTTGAAGATGCTGGTGCGGATAGTGAAAAGGTAAGAAAGGATCTCATAAAAACAACTAGATGCAGGAAAAAATGATCCATCACCTGAAAGATGATGCAAAGATGAACAATGTGAGACTAACAGGCATCAATGAGAAAGAAGGAGTCAATACAAATGACATTAAAAAAATATGGGCAGAAGTAACAGCACAAAACTTCCCAAATATGAGGAGACAATCTGATATTCAGGTAACCAAAGCATATAGAACGCCAAGTAACCTTAACCCAAAGAAAAACACACCGAGGCATATAATTCAGCACAAGAATAATATACTCAAAGCCGCTAGAGAAAAAAAGATCACATTCAAAGGAAAACCCATCAGAATTACAGCCGACTTCTCTTCACAAATCATGAAGGCAAGAGGAGCATGGAGCGGAGTACTTGAAGTCCTCTATGAAAACAAATTCCAGCCCAGACTACTATAGCCTGCAAAACTCACTTTCAAGTTGGATGGAGAAGTGAAATACTTTCATGAAAAAGAACACCTAAAGAATTTCATGATGACGAAGCTAACCCTACACAGGCTACTGAAAGATGTTCTAGAGAGGGACCAAAATGATCAGAACTCCACGAATGAGATCAGAAGCAAACAACTAAATAGGCCAAGCAATTAAACACAGGAGGAAAAGGAGTAAACGACAACAGGTAAATAACCTATCAATCGTAAGTCAATACATCTCAATTCTAACCACCAATGTAAATGGACTCAATTCACCAATTAAGAGAAAGAGACTGGCACAGTGGATTAGGAAACAAAATCTAACAATATGCTGTATACAAGAAACACATTTAACTCATAAAGACATTCAGAGGCTGAAAGTCAAAGGATGGAACACAATACTACGTGCCCCAGCACCTCAGAACAAAGCAGGGGTTGCAATCCTATTCTCAGACAGTCTCAACTTCAAACCAACAATGATCAAGTGAAATAAAGAAGGCCACTATATACTGGTTAGGG